TATAAAATTTATATTTAATATAAAATTATTGAATGGTGTAATGCTTAGTAAAAATTATACGAATATTATTTGAGTCCTCTTTATATATATAATAATAATAATAATAATTTAATCACCTTCTTTTATAATGAAAAAGTATAATTTTATTCTACTAATAATAAACTTGAATAAATTACAACCTAACTATAACAAGTAACAAGTCAGAATAATTAAATACATACTCCTGTAATAAAAACACACACTCTTTTATGATCACGGGTTCGATTCCGTACGAATCAAATTTGGAAACATTACACTAAAATTAGTTTTTTGTGGTAATTAATTTATTATTTAGTGACCATATAAATGGTCATTATTTTTTTTACCAGCATTTAACTAATGACTAGTGTATCTAGTGTCGTTAATACTATTACCGGCATTTTATATAAATTATCGAAAAAACTTATTTTTTTTAGTGGCAATTCTAGTAGCCATTTTAAATGCTATTAAAAGTTATTTTTTTCAGTTGTCTCCTTTACTTTAAATAATTTATTCCTATAATTTCATTTTCTAAATTCATAACTTATATACTTTTTTATCTCTACTCGATGTGGGATTTGTAAGATGAGAGTTGTCTTTTATTTATTTATTTTTTTAATTGTCTTGTCTTTTAAGAGATGTGAGATTTATAAGGTGAAAGTTGCTCTCTAATTATTTTATAGCACTATTGAACTTGGTAACAATGAGTGATTTGATACCAATTTAGAATAGTGAATTAGGAGTTAATCCTATAAAATGAACTTGTAAAGTGATAGTTATTACTCACTTATATACTATTTAATTATCTTATCTCTAATCGATGTGGGACTTAAGTTTTTTTTAATAAATAATTGTCGCTAATAATAAACTTTAGTGTAATTAAATATATTTTTAATGGCTATTATATATTAACCATTAATATTTTTACATATATGACAGTAATTAAATTATTGTCATTAAATAATTGTCACTAATAACAAATTTTGTTGTAATGAAATGCAAATCGAAAATCGAAATAATTTAAAAAAAATAATCATTCTATCGTTAAATTAAAAATTTTAATTAATAAACTAAATTTAAAAAATTTACAAATTTAAAAATTAATCATTTAATGTTTTACTACATTAATTTAAAATCAATGTGTATTTATAAAATCATATTATATATATATATATTAACTTAAATATATATAAATTTTTAAAATTTGTACACTTTATTAAGAAATTTGATTTTAATGATGAAATCATTAAAATTTAATAAAAGTTACAAGTTATTAAGTGAAGTAATTTTATTAAAATTATTTATTGTTGAAATAAGTGAATTTATATATATATATATATATATATATATTAGTTTTTGTTGTTTTGTTTTGATCAGTTTGAATTTGAACACCGTGCGTTTATGATACAAATTTGCCGTCAATTAATGACTGTTGGAAAAACAGTAACCTTACCTGTAAAAGTGGAAGTCTCGTCTCGTTGGAAAAGAGGCATATATTTATATAATCAGGATAAGGTACCGACCAAGCATCATAGTTTTGTTTATATGAACCCAAATGATGCAACTCTTGTTTATTAATAAAACCTAATCTGCCTAATTCTATCTCCAAATGAGTGTACGGGCATAAGTCATGTTAATTGGTCTTCGACGGCCACATATCTGACATCCTCATACTCTTGTCACTAACCAGCAACTGCACTCACCATAAACCATTAACAATTTAATTGGTTAATTAAAGCCACAACCTGGTTCCTTGTAATTATCTCTTGGTATTTTTTCTCCTAATATGACCAAACATTTCTAGGCGTAATCAGATGGAAAGTAAGTCTCAACGGTGACGTATAGTTTGTATATTTGTCAAGATGCATGCACATACGGTACAATTCAGTTGCAACAAAGATGAAGCCCGAACTCAACGACATACACGAAACAAGTTTGCCATTTTAAATTATGATAATGATGTGATGAAAATGAAAAGGCCTCGATAATCTGTCTTCGGTTTGTGGCCGGCTTTTGTTTATGTTTCATTTTTCTTGTTTAGGTAGGAAAGTATGATACATGTATCTATTCTTTATCATCTTCAGTTGTTGTTATTTTATGTACTGACGTGGGTTTGCATGCTGCCTTCAAAAATAATACTAATATAATAGAAAACAAAAGCATGTACAAATATTGTGATTACTTCTAGTAGCCTAGAAGCAGTTACATCTAAGGCTAATTGGAGATTTTCAAAATACTGTACCTGAATAGTACATCAGTGTTCCGATTCATTTCATAAATTAATAATGGAGATCTAAGTTGTCTATTTTTTATTTTTTATTACATAAATAATTCAATTAATATCTTGATTTTTAGTTAAATAATTGAATGTTTAAACTATTTGAGATATAAAATAATTTTTTTTATAGATTACATGTATATTTTATTAGCAACAATCTTCTTTGAGTCAAATAAGAATACTATGTGTTCTTACCGGAATTTGGCCGTAGGGATGGTCTGCCCAGTAAGATTAGTGAGCCTCCTTTGCTTGATGTGTTGGTGCTCCAAGATGGGGAAGGTACCTGCAAAAGAGACTCCGATGCCAAAGTTAGGGTATAAGGTACCGATTTAGGGTGTTGTAGGGGTGCTTAATACCTTCCCTACATGTAACCGACCCCCGAACTCAATTCTGGTTATCAAGACCATTATTGGACTTTTAAAAACCTTTTCTTTTTCCAATGTTTTGAGTAAAACATTGGTGGCGACTCCATGAACCTATTTTCAAAACCATTAATTAAGGATTAGTCTGGTGTCTGGGCATTTCTTAATTGATGAGACTTTTAAAAGGATGTCTAAACCATTAGTCGCGAGATCGGAAATTTTCGGGTTGCGACAAGCCACTATAGGAGGATCACTCTTGCATCGCTCCCTGGACGAGGAGATTTTTAGACTCTCGGTGTAGCACTGTCGAGCTGTCTTCTGGTTTGCCTTGAAATAAATAATCTTCCCATCACTCCCTGGGAATTTCATGGTGAGGTGTGGGGTGGACAGCACTGCTCCGAGTTGATTCAAGGTCGGCCTCCCAATGATTATGTTGTAGGAAGTGTTGGCTTGCACGAGGAGGTATCAGACCATAATTCGCCTTGTGTCTAGAGAGGTCCCGAAAGTTGTCAACAGGTCCACGTATCCCGAGTGTGTACTCACTCTCCTGCAAAACTGACTAGGGGCTCTATGTGAGGTTGGATGAGAGAGTGAGGGATGTCTAACCTGAGGAACGTCAGCCAATACAGGACGTCAGCCGAGCTCCCCTAGTCAATCAGTGTCTTGTGGACCTCCCAATTAGCTACCTCCACGGTGATGACCATGGGGTCATCTTGGTTGGGGTTGACGCTAGTGTAGTCATCGTCGGTGAAGGTGATCAGCGGTGAGCTTTGCTGTGAAGCCAAGGTAGTGGAGTGGAAGTTGTTGATATTGTGCAGGTGTCTCTTCCAGGCCGAGCTGCTGGCGCCTCCCCCTGTGAAACCACCTGAAATTGTGTTTATTACTCCCCGTAGGGGAGCTGATCCTATTTCCTAGCTTACCTCGGCCTGCACTGCTCTACCCTGGGGACCACTTTTTTCAGTTTCCAATGCATGAAACAACTCAAATGAGTTACTTCCATTGGAGATGCCCTAATCGATTTTAGTAATTAATGATAGACGTGGTATAAATAAAAAAGAATATTCATTGTTTACACTTGTGTGCATGACTTGGACGCTAACGATCAAAATTCTCACGTAGTAACATAACTTGATCATCTCGTGAAACTGGACTCCAATAAAGAGAACAATTATGAAATATATACATATTATCTCAAACTCCTAAAAATAATAAAATTGTCTTGCTGCGTGACAGAGCCCTTCTCTTTTTTCCTTTTTGTTTTCTCATGTATGAGAAAATAAAAATGGGTCTCATTCCACTCCAGTATTGTTTCCTCTAAATAACCTTGGAGCAAAATCAAACCTATTAGTTGTAAAGTCTGTTAAAATACTAATGATTAGGCTGCTTTAATTTGTAGATTAACTTTTCATACTGGGGACCACTTTTTTCAGTTTCCAATGCATGAAACAACTCAAATGAGTTACTTCCATTGGAGATGCCCTAATCGATTTTAGTAATTAATGATAGACGTGGTATAAATAAAAAAGAATATTCATTGTTTCGCGGAGACGGCCGCCATCAAGAATCTTTCCGCGCTCCCTCTTCCGTTGGATTGCAAGCTCGTCTTGTCGCTTGCGAATTCGCCTTTCAGGGAGAGGGGCCTAAAGAGTGAGTATTATGTTCTCTGGTAGGTTTTTAGGACTTGTGTGGTTGCCGGTTATTGATGTGTTTCTGTTTCTTTTCTGCAGGCATTATGGGCAGAAACTTGTGGCGTCAGCTTAAACACCGCTACAATGTTTTCGAGCTCGAGGCTCCCGAGCCTCCGGAGGAGGATGCTGTCTCCTTAAAGACCCACCGAAAGAGGAAGAGGGGGAAGGAGGAGGTCGGGGGGACCTCCGCTTCTCACGATGTCGGGGAGGCGACCTCCCGGGTTGTGGACGCTGTGGATCTCACCGACAGCCCTCCGGCCAAGGAGGCCTCGCCAGTGGCTACGGCGGAGGTGGTGCAGGGTGTCGGGCTTACTGCACCGGACGCCGAGGTGAGTAGCTTATCATATGCACGCGTTTTCCGTGTTAGTTCCCCGTCTTTGTTTTTTGAGGCGTTATGGATCCCTTTGCAGGGCGGGGTTGGCGTTGCTGAGGTGGAGGTCTGCGTTTCCGAGCAGACCGTCCGAGTTGCCAAGGTGGTAAGTATTGTCTTCTCGGACTTTTCACTCTGGCTTTTTGCTATGTTGCCTGGCTGTTTGATCTTGGTGATTTTTTGTAGGCAGGAAGTGCCTCTGGGCCTGAGATGCAAGCGGGGAAAGCCGCTGAGCCTGAGGTGCAGGCGGGAAAAGCCGCTGAGCCTGAGGTGCAGGCGAGAAATGCCGCTGATCCTGAGGTGCAGGCTTCCGGGCTGGCCGCCCAGGCTGCTGGGGTGAGTCTGGTTTTTTGTTTTGTTTTGTTTTGTTTTTGTGGCTTTCTCGCATGTCTCCTTATCTATTTGTGATGCGGGACTGGTGTTTGCAGGCGGGCTCATCGCAGGGGCCTTCCCGGACCCAATATCTGTCCCATCGCTTTGGGAAGGGGATAGATACGGTGCGGCTGGATCACGTGAGCGCGTCCGCCGGTATGGATTCATTATGGAGCGCGGGGGTGACCGCGGAGAGGTTCTTTCCTCAGGGTTCGTTGAGCTCCGAGGACCAGGGATTGATTGACAGGATCGGTCCCGAGGACAGTTTTGATGCTGCCCAGGTCATGCTGCAGAGGGTGATAGGCATAATGAGTCACTGGAAACCCAAGTGGGGCCAGCAGCGAGAAGACTTGGCCAAGCAGCAGCAGGAGCTGGCTAAGCGGGAGCAGGAGCTGGCCAAGCAAGAGCAGGAGCTGGCTAAGGTGAAGGGCCGGCTTCAGCCATGGAAGGAGGCGAACAAGATCCTGAGGGTGGATAACAAGACTCTCACCGCGGCTCTTGATGAGGCGAAGCGGCGGGTGGCTGAGCTCCGGACCGCGCGTAGCGACCTTGCGCCGGTGCAGAAATCTCTTGAGATTGCATTGCGGTCCAATGACGCTTATGCTTCTCGAGTGGGGGAGCTGTAGGGGCTCGCCGCTTTTTCTCTGGCGCGGGCCCGTTCTTTGGAGGACGAGGTGACGTCCTCTCGTGACCAGGTGCGGTCCTTAGAGGATGTTGTGGCCTCTCTAAAGGGGGAGTTGGTAGCGGCGGCTGAGGAGCGTCTCCGCAGTGAGGCCATTCTGGGTGGTCGAGAGGATGAGATTGCTGCGCTGAGAGTAGAGCTCGTGGAGCTGGCAGCGGGGAAAGCGGCCGTGGAAGGACGGCTAGTCGAGATGGAGCGCTCCGTCGTGGCAGAGCATACGAGGGGCTTTCAGAAGGCTACCCGTCAGGCACGACTTCTTGCTCCCGGGTTCGACTTCTCCTCGATGCATCTGGAGAAGGTGGTTCGTCGTGGGAGGATTGTTTCGGAGGACGATGTTAACGACAGTTCCAGTGAAAATGCCTCCGCTTAGGTTTTCTTTGTAATTTTGGTTTCCTTTCTCTTTGGCGTGAATTGATGTACTGAATCTTGTGAACTTTGCTTGTATACATGTATGCATGTTGCTCTATTTTGTTCGTTTTGGGTTTAATTTTGGCTGTTCGCGCTGTTTGAAGCGCATGTTTGGCATCTGTTATATGATTTTGTATCGGGTGATACCTCTTATCTTACGCTAGTAACGTCGAGGTTCGAGGTCGGCCTTAGTTGCCTGCTCAGTAGGGTTTTTCGTGGAAGTTCGGACTCGGCCGTAGATGAATGTGTTAAGATTCGTATTCGATCTCAAATTGTGACTTTGTAATTGTTGTGAGAGTTTATAAATGACGTTAGGCTGGAATCAAGGTCAGAATTCAATGCTAAGTTGGTCGTGCCGGGGTTCGAATTCGACCCCGGTATCGAGAGTGGGGTGTGCTTTGCCAGGGTTCAAAGTTATCCTCAGGTTAGTGGTTTGGTATCCACCTTTAAGGGAGAATTCGTGTGTGTTGAGATTCGTATTCGATTATTAAAAAAGTGATGAATTTGGGGTTGGAAAAACTAAATTCACGCTATGAACAATATTTTTGTGTATTTGGATAGATAAATCATGAGATTGTGTAGTTGAAGTAAAGAATAAGTCTACATATTTGAGGAGGGATCCTTTTACTCAAAGAGTAAGTCTACGTAAACTTATTCCGTTCAATAACTCATGTTCTATATTAAATTTTAACAATTCAACCGTTCAATTTAAAGTTCCTAATGCATAAATCAAATCTGGAAATTTTTAAAAAGTTTGAAAATCATTTGATACTTCATTTTATTAATTCAAATTGATGAATAATCATAAAATCATTTTATACATTGATTCGAATTAATGAAATGAAGTATTAAATGATTTTCAAATTTTTTAAAAATTTTCAGATTTGATCAATGCATTAAGAACTTTAAATTGAACGGTTGGATCATTAAAATTTGATGTAGAATATGAGTTATTGAATGAAGTAAGTATAGGTAGATTTACTCCTAGAGTAAAATAATCCCTCCTATATATATATAAATTTGAACTCGATTTTACTCGAATTAACATGTTGATATAAAAAAATTATTTTAATATCAAACACACGGATAAATAGGTAGGTAAAAATTTACAGATTTAATCTATGTATTAAGAACTTTAAATTAAACGATTGGGTCGTTAAAATTTGATATAGAACATGAGTTATTGAACAAAATAAGTATAAATAGACTTACTCCAAAGTAAAAAGATCTCTCTTTATATATATCCTTATTATCATCATTATTGTAATTTTTAAATTCTTGTAATTTGTCAACATTATTTACTTTTATATATCAAGTATATACTGGTCCGTGAATTTTTATGTAGAAGTGTATAACTGGAGCTTTCTGAATGCCTTCAGACAATTAATGAGGCATGCAGCAAAGAAGAAAAAAACATAGGACAAGTTATATAATATGACAAAATCGGCATAATCTCGTGATGATTAATGGCTATGGCACACACGTACTTCATTTCACATTAATTGAAAGGGTAGATGGGGGTCAAAATATATATGAAAATAAAGTTCATATCATAAATTGAAGTGGGATAATGATCTTTGACCAAATTAAACTGTGTAGTTTTTCGAAATTTCACATGATATTCCTACCTTTTCACCATTTATAGTAACTTATTTTTATTGTCTAAAACGCGTTATATCTTATATTTTTAAACTGCCAGTGAAAATAGAAATTATTAGGTAATTTCATACTTCATTCTAGTCAATTTCTACGTACCACGTATTCACGTTTTTACGAGAAAATGATAATAATACCTACTTACATGTTATACGCAGATATTAATATTAATCGATCTAAACTCATCTAATAATTTTTAAAAAAATTTATCAAAATTTTTAGTTTCTAATAAATTTCAATCAATAACAATAACGAAAGAAAAAGTGTAAGAGTCTAGGGTTTAGAGTGGTAGAATCGTCAACACTTCTCTAATTTAATATTTACAGTTAACTTTTTCTTATTCCGTTCAATAACTCATGTTCTATATTAAATTTTAACAATTCAACCGTTCAATTTAAAGTTCCTAATGCATAAATCAAATCTGGAAATTTTTAAAAAGTTTGAAAATCATTTGATACTTCATCTTCTTCTGGCGTTCGGGGGTGTGCCGAAGGTTGTGAGCAGGTCCACGTATCCGCGGGTGTGGACCCGTTCACCGGCGAAGCCAACTAGGGGCTCTGTATGCGGCTGGATGAGAGAGGGAGGGACGTCGAGGTTGAGGAAAGTTGGCCAATACAGGACGTCTGCCGAGCTCCCCTGATCGATGAGTGTCTTTTGGACTTCCCGGTTTGCAATTTCTACCCCGTTGACCATGGGGTCATTCTGATTGGGGATGATCCCTGCGTAGTCCTCGTCGGAGAAAGAGATTGGTGGTTTTAAAGTTCCTAATGCATAAATCAAATCTGGAAATTTTTAAAAAGTTTGAAAATCATTTGATACTTCATTTTATTAATTCAAATTGATGAATAATCATAAAATCATTTTATACATTGATTCGAATTAATGAAATGAAGTATTAAATGATTTTCAAATTTTTTAAAAATTTTCAGATTTGATCAATGCATTAAGAACTTTAAATTGAACGGTTGGATCATTAAAATTTGATGTAGAATATGAGTTATTGAATGAAGTAAGTATAGGTAGATTTACTCCTAGAGTAAAATAATCCCTCCTATATATATATAAATTTGAACTCGATTTTACTCGAATTAACATGTTGATATAAAAAAATTATTTTAATATCAAACACACGGATAAATAGGTAGGTATAATTGTATAAATTCATTACTTAGTTGCGCATGAGAATGATTGTTAATGAAGTTGAATTTGTTTATTTTTTAAATAAACTTTTGAATTCAAGTATTGTTATAAAAAAATAAAATGACTTGTAAAATAAAATTGTATAACAACTTATATAATATTATTTAATTTTTTTTCTCCGTCACATTATTTATTACATTTATAAGCAAAAATATGTGCAAAATTGTAAAATAACATACAAATCATTTTTTTTCTTCAAATTTTTAATTCACTTTATTTATTACACTTTGTTGTACTTCATTCATTGTTTCAAAAAGTTATGTTGTGTGATTTTATTGCACATATTTTATTATTCTACATTTATTAACGATGGAAATAGGTAATATTAAAAATTGGCATTTCACAAAAATTATTGTATGTATATCATTATTATAAAATATAAAAAAAACGTGATTGCGAAGAAAATCTTCGATACAAATAATTAATCAATTTTTTTTACAAAAGTTGATAATCTTTAAAAAAAAAATTCTCATGTAACATTTACATCTAACGAAATCTTAACTCTTAATTAAAAAAAATGAGAGAATTTAAATAATAAAAAAGAAGATATGATATTTTAATTGTGAAAACTTTTATTTAAAAAATCTAAGTAAATTTATATAGACACGAAAAAAGGGTCAAATTTTAAAAGGCTAAAACCTTAATTTAGTCCCTTATAATATTTGAAAGTTTTAATTTAGTTCTATTTTAATTTTTGAGTTCAATTTAATTCTAATTTTATTATTTATTTAATATAAATATTACTAAAAAAGACGCTAAATTTTTAGTTGGTTAAGTAACCAAATTTTAAACAAGTTTGGTAAAAATATTATTAAAAAAGTGATGAATTTGGGGTTGGAAAAACTAAATTCACGCTATGAACAATATTTTTGTGTATTTGGATAGATAAATCATGAGATTGTGTAGTTGAAGTAAAGAATAAGTCTACATATTTGAGGAGGGATCCTTTTACTCAAAGAGTAAGTCTACGTAAACTTATTCCGTTCAATAACTCATGTTCTATATTAAATTTTAACAATTCAACCGTTCAATTTAAAGTTCCTAATGCATAAATCAAATCTGGAAATTTTTAAAAAGTTTGAAAATCATTTGATACTTCATTTTATTAATTCAAATTGATGAATAATCATAAAATCATTTTATACATTGATTCGAATTAATGAAATGAAGTATTAAATGATTTTCAAATTTTTTAAAAATTTTCAGATTTGATCAATGCATTAAGAACTTTAAATTGAACGGTTGGATCATTAAAATTTGATGTATCCTTTAAGCGAGGTTGGGAAGACCCTGCACAATATAGCGTCACTGTTAGTGTAAAGGTTTACCTGAGTCGTGTACGCGTCGACGTGCTCATCGGGGTCCGTAGTGCCGTCGTAGCGGTCGAGGTGGAGGGGCTTCCACCTGCGGGGTAACGAAGTCTCCATGATGTCTTTCACAAAGGGATGACGGCGGAAAGGCTCTTGGCCCTCGGAGACATGAGTGGGGGCCTTGCTGGTGCCCTGCCCTGATCTGTGTGTTGATGCATGAGACCGGTGCGTGGCAGGCTGTGAATGTGGTGCCTTGGTGGTTGCTTGGGAATGGGGGGCTGAATGCGCCTCCTCCTCATGATCACCGCTATCGTGCGGTGGCTGGCCGGGGCTATGCCGAGGGAGTTGGGCGCGGATGCGCTCGTTCTCAGCGCGTAGCGCCGCTAGGTCTGCTTCGTTAGCGGTGCGCATCGCCGCGAGGTCATTCTCATGCTGGGCACGCATATTCTGGAGGTCGGCGTCGTGCTGTCGCCGCATCTGCTCGACTTGTTCGACCAAACGCCTCAGGGTCGCGGTATCGCTGTCCATGGTAGTTGAGTTGCTTGTGTTATCTGTTGCTCGTCTAATATGGCTTCTGGTAGAAACCATGCAGGTGGCCGATGAGAGCTTGGTCTGATCGGCCCCACGGTGGGCGCCAAATGTTCTTACCGGAATTTGGCCGTAGGGATGGTCTGCCCAGTAAGATCAGTGAGCCTCCTTTGCTTGATGTGTTGGTGCTCCAAGATGGGGGAGGTACCTGCAAAAGAGACTCCGATGCCAAAGTTAGGGTTTGTATGAGTATGAGTCTCGTATATAT